ATTTCATTATAGACTAAAATACTATCATTAATATGAGTGAGTAAAATCACACCTTTAACTGAAACATCTAGTTAGTAGATAAAGTCGTCTTTTTCTAGCTTGAAGTTTTGTTATTAAATGTTTCAGTATGTGTGTGATAATACTTCATAAGCCTATGATTTTACTTACATATATTGATGATAATATATTAGGCTACGGTGACACACGTCAGTTTTAAGCAATAGAAGATGGGGGACAGTAAATTTAGTTACGGATTTAAAGTGCTTGATATGTTTTGTAGAGTTTATGAAATAATGAAACTTTGATCATATTAGTTTGAACCTCTTTGGGGAACGTGCTAGAACAAGTATATACCACAGAAATTATTATATTAGTCAGTATTTTATGAACTAAGGTGTTTTCGGAAAGGTTGTAATAATATATCTTGAAGTTTTTGGTTTGTCACAAATAATGTGCACAAATTTTACTTTAGAAACTTTTAAGAACAAAACTTCTAGCTAGAAAAAGACGACTTTATCTAGGATTTGTCACAAATAATGTGCAGAAATTTTACTTTTGAAACTTTTAAGAACAAAACTTCGAGTTATAAAAAAACGACTTTATCTAGGGTTTGTCACAAATAATGTGCATACATTTTACTTTTGAAACTTTTAAGAACAAAACTTCAAGCTAGAAAAAGACGACTTTATCTATGGTTTGTCACAAATAATGTGCACAAATTTGACTTTTGAAACTTTTAAGAACAAAAGCTCATGACAAAATATTTCAATTTTGTTGCTTCTTACGATAAAAGGTATGGTTTACAAGAAAAGACGATTCTTTCACATTATATAAATAGACGAATTTACTGTTGAACATTACAGGATGTAATTTACATCCAAAATACGTTGTATGTCACTGAACTCAACAGTCAGTAAAATAAAAAGGTGGAAGAATCGTTATGTAAGGTGGAAGAAACATAACGACACAGAAAGCTAAACGTACATACATGACATTCTCAAGTTTTGAGGGTTTTCGATCTCTAACTTATACATTTGTAGTTTAAAACTACTGTTGCTTACAGATATAAGTTACCAATATCTATACATAGTCTACCTTCTTCAGGATGCAACTCCAAACACGTAAAAAAATATCAGTATCGTCCTTCTCAGAATTTAGTTTGTGTTTTTCAATTCAAAGTTATTCAATGGGAAAATTCCGCTGACAGCTTGATATCCTTTGATATTTAGGACTAATACAAACTGGAACATGTATGAATTATAAAATACTGGATTGACGAGATTAAATAAACTTTCGTACAAATCTAGTACATTACAGTTAGCATGCGATTCTTCTATACTTTCTACTCCGTTAGACTTTCCTACTGACCTTTGTTCGTTAGTCATACGGCATTCAATGACCTCAACTTGAAAATCAACCTGTTCTATTATCATGCAGTATTTGAGCATAATGAAAACAAAAACTAATATATTTTGTCCGATATATAACAACACAGAAGACTGAGCGTAACTGTACAAGTTAGATTATTCTCACATGGATATTGAAAACATATCAGAGAATGTATTAAACACAGTGATGTCACATCGCACTATCGTTGGAACAATAAGTTCCATGAATTTCAAAGTGGACGTTTTTGCAATCTGGTGATATACTTCTAAGTTCTGTGATCTCACGACAAAATATATGGTCTACAAGAAAAGACATATCTATCCTTTACATGAAATCAATTTATAAATAATGTTCATATAGATTCATATAAAAACCATGTAAGACATTCACCAATGGTAAGACGTTCAACAATGTGATTAGGTTTATTTTCAGAGATCACTGGTCAAAGAACATGTTTATTATAATTTGGTATTGTTACTACCGTATAACATAATAATAACAGAGCATTAGTTTTTATATCTTAAACGTCAACGAAACTGTTAGAGAATTTACGAAAATTACTCAAGTTCATTGTAGTAACATATATAAGAAAAAGTCATAACATGTTTCGCACAGTTCTCCTTTAAGGTAGAGTTATATTGAAGTGCAAACGGTGTCTAGTAGGGACGACAGAAAGTTACCCACTTTTGAAGTAGTTGTGTGATCACTGATAAAAAACGTTCTTTTGACGGTAAATAGGTGTACAACATGGAGCCTCTTGCTGCTCTAGTGTCTACTTTCGTGGGCGAAGAGAAAAATAACCAGGATCCCGTGTTTGATGGTAGCCTCGAGGCTGTCAGTGTACGCAGCCAAGGGTCCGTAAAATGTAGACAAGCACTGCTATAATTGGGGTTTCTCTTGTATAGTATACAGAGTCAGAGAAACTTACGTTCAATCTACACAATACGTACGAAGACTTTTTTTAATTTACGGGAACTCCGAACGCGTAACAATAAGGCTCATAATATTTCTTTACAAGTCTTTCTTTGCTAACCCTCTACTACGGGTTTCCAACGAGGAAAATCTGGACTGTACGCACATTGTGACGCATACCGTTGCCAATGATGCCTTTCGCTCAGTACCAGAGCTTATTTAGGTAGCTGAAAGACAGCTGGTCAATATCAACCACCAGCGGCTCTTGGGCTACTATTTTCAGCGACAAATATTGGTATTAACTATCACGTTATAACACTCCTATCACTGAAAAAATGAGCGTGTTTGGCGCAGGGTTTCGATCCCACGACCTGCAGATTGTGAGTCGAGCAGCATAGCCATCAGTCCCACAGAATAAGAAATAGTTTAAGGGTTCAACCATTTCTGTATTAGCTATGCCTTTTTCTTAAAAAAGTAGTACTTTTATAAACACTATGTGATGTCGTTTTTGGCTTACGTTAGTTAAATGCCGTACTTTTACAAACACTATGTAATGTCGTTTTTGGCTTACTTTAGTTAAACGCCGTACTTTTATAAACACTATGTGATGTCGTTTTTGGCTTACTTTAGTTAAATGCCGTACTTTTATAAACACTATGTGATGTCGTTTTTGGCTTACTTTAGTTAAATGCCGTACTTTTATAAACACTATGTGATGTCGTTTTTTGGCTTACACGTTCGTTAAATGCCGTACTTTTATAAACACTATGTGATGTCGTTTTTGGCTTACGTTAGTTAAATGCTGTACTTTTACAAACACTATGTGATGTCGTTTTTTGGCTTACACGTTAGTTAAATGCCGTACTTTTATAAACACTATGTGATGTCGTTTTTGGTCTTACTTTAGTTAAATGCCGTACTTTTATTAAGCACTATGTGATGTCGTTTTTTGGTCTTACACGTTAGTTAAATGCCGTACTTTTATAAACACTATGTGATGTCGTTTTTTGGCTTACACGTTAGTTAAATGCCTCATGCAATCATACTAGTTTTATATACAAGCAAGTTAAAACTTTTATTCGGTCAAAAAACTAAAATATTAAAAAAAGTTAAACCAAAGTTAAAATTTTTTCACCTTACATACCGTTTTAAGCAACAATTAAAGTACTTGGTACACAATAATGAACAAATCACCACCCTTCAGTTTATAGCATCAACATCTAAAATCTCTATTTTTGTTTCCTTTCCTCCGTTTGTCTTTCACCTGGTTAGCAATTAAATTAAATTGGCCTGCCAAAAAACCGCTAATTCCTGACATTGCCAGACCTGCGTTATGTATATAAAAATACAAGCAGCCCTACTGTTCCTGGCCCGACATGGCCAGGTGGTTAGGGCGCTCAACTCACAATCTGAGGCCCGCGCTTTCGAATCCCCGTCCCACCAAACATGCTCTCCCTTTCAGCTGGGGGCGTTATAATGTTACGGTTAATCCCACTATTCAGTGGTAAAAAGTAGCCCAAGAGTTGACGGTGAGTGGTGATGACTAGCTTCCTTCCCTCTAGTCTTACACTGATAAATTAGGGACGGTTAGTGCAGATAGCCCTCGTGTAGCTTTGAGTGAAATGCACAACAAACGAACCTGCTATTTCTAACAGTAGTGTGATGAATGAAGTTATGGTTTCTAAGAAAGAAATGTCACATGACAACAGATTTAAATGAAAGTATTGGCTGAATAAGGTTACTCCGTGCAACAAATTAAGCTAAATTTATTCTTTTAAGCTTTTGAAAAGTGGTGTTAAACATCTTGGAGTAGTTTCTTTATGTGGTACAACAAAATCCATTACAGTTATTGCTACTTCCAAAACAGTACTTCTCAAAAATATTACACGGGAAGGAAAACCAAACCAAAAGGCACAAACTGGCACCAGACATCAACCAATGGAATGAGCAAAACTGGAGAAGGCACTCTTTACAGATGAATCCCAATTAAAATTGTTTGTTAACAATGAACAACAGTTTGATGGCAATATAACAGTACATGTACAAACAAGCACACTGGGGGACCAATACAAGCTTGAATTACATCCCAGCCAAAGGTATTGTAGATCTACACACAATATATAACATCCTGACTGCTCTGTTAATAAGTAAAAGCTGAGTCTTATCCTTCATAGCATCTATCAGGGACAAGATATGTTGAGCGGAAATTAATCTTCCCGCAGACAGCGATTCTAACGATTTCTGGAAGGAAAAAGAGGCTGAAGGAACATTTGCAGTCATGACTTGGCCTGCGCAAATCCCTGATATGCATATTATTAAGGCTGTCTGGGCTTATGTGGAAATTGATAAGTCATAAATTTAGTTTTATATTCTTCGTGTTTTTTTACAGTGTTTGTTTTTAACTATTGCCGAGAAAAAAAAAGAATGTTTTAAATGACATTCACCAAGTGTTTCTCACAAATTTAATTTTATATTATTCGTGTTTTTTTACAGTGTTTGTTTTCAACTATTGCCGAGAAAAAAAAAGAATGTTTGAAATGACATTGACCAAGTGTTTCTCACAAATTTAATTTTATATTCTTCGTGTTTTTCTACAGTGTTTGTTTTCAACTATTGCCGAGGAAAAAAAAGAGTGTTTGAAATGACATTGACCAAGTGTTTCTCACAAATTTAATTTTATATTCTTTGTGTTTTTACAGTGTTTGTTTTCAACTATTGCCGAGAAAAAAAAAGAATGTTTGAAATGACATTGACCAAGTGTTTCTCAACTCGTCGTCTTCTGGTTGACATACTTGTAATTGTTTTTGGAATAAGCTCTTGGATCGAGATTAATGGACTTTGGGTAGAACTTCCTTTACTGGTTTCTAAGCTCCCTGAACAATGGACTCTAGGCTCATATATTGTGGTCATAACACAAGTGGCCAATCTGGGACCCATTACGTATAGCTTGCTACGCAGGTTTTTCGTTTTAAAAGTAATTATTTTCTGACTAACTCTTTCCGTTTATTTGTATTTACACCTATTCTCAATATCACCACAGCCTAAACAACACCAATCATCTTCATTTGTTATTCTTTGAGCCTCTCCCCACATGTCCACACTTTGCTATTTCTATCAAATATCTATTTTTTCTCACATTCCATTTTCCTTCTTTCTTCTTTGCACTTCATTCCAGCTCACCAGTGTATTCTTGTATTTAATGTACTTTATTCGTGGTTATTATTATTATTATTATAAGTAAAATTCTTGTTACTTTACTTTAAATCTTTCTTTCCTCAGATTCGAGGCTTTTAAGTTGTATTACACTTTTACTTGTTAAAATGTATTCTAAAACTATATCATTTAGATTATAAACACGTTTACTTATCAACAAGTATCGTATACTGTGATACCATTTAGATTGTGGTAATCCTGTGGTGTTTGGTTAACATTGTTCTTTTAATAACCTTATTTATAAGAACATAACGTAATATTGTATATTCCAGTTTTGTTAGGGAAAGCTAAAACCAAGATAGATATATTTAGTTGTCTTCAGCAAGTCATGAAAACACTGGATACAAGAGTAAAACCACTTGGTTTCAGTTTTGTACGATTTTAATAAACATAAGCATTGAAAACCTCAAAAAGTTATACACAAGATATTGTTTATTCCTAACGCTGAAAGTGGTATATGAAAATCCTGAATATGTTTCTAATTTTTCAACTCGTTATGAAGAATGATAAAAAATAACTACAAACATTTAACCTTTGTATGGAGATCCGAACTGTAGAGATAAAAAGATTGGATGACCAATAACAGTTATTTAAAATCTGTTTGTGAGTAAACTGTTTAAATGCATAAACTTTAACGTATCATCGATAACCAGTCGCAGACCAGATAAATTCAATTGTGGAATCGGGTGTGTGCAAAGCATGTATATAAACCAATGAAGCATGTGTGTGTGGGTGTTGATATTTAAAGCATGTATATAAACCAATGAAAAATATTAACACCCCCCCACATATATATATATATATATATGTGAGATGCATAATATATACGTCAGTTTTTTATATACTTTATAATTGTTTACAGACTCTGGAAAAGCCTACAATTCACATTACTCTATTTATTGGGACTACCTCGTGTTTACTACTAGCACTGTTCTGGTCCAAAACAACATTGATTGGAGGAGAAGATCACAGCACAGCCTTGCTGACTCTAGCTTTTTGTTTGGCCTTGGTGGACTGTACGTCGTCAGTTCTGTATCTACCATTCATGGCTCATCTCCATCAAAAGTACTTAGCGTCTTATCTTATCGGAGAAGGCATGAGTGGCTTGCTTCCAAGTGTTGTAGCTCTCATCCAAGGAGTCGGGGGAAACCCACAATGTCGTAATGCTACCGTTGCTAGTTTCGGGGCTGAACAAAACACAACCATTTATGAAATCAAGCCGTATTACCCTCCACCAAGATTTTCAGTAGAAATATTTTTTACGTTCCTATGTATCATGATGACGATGAGTTGGTTGTCGTTCTTACTTCTAAACAAGCTTCCGTCAATAAAAGCTGAGCAAGTAAGTACGTACAAAAAATAAATACATGAATAAAAAAGGATCTGAACACCTTAAAACTTTGAAAGAAAAACTGGTTCGTATACAGTGTATGCGTAATTAAAATATTAATAGGAGAAATATTATAAGTACTTACGATACAGATTACAAAAACTGCTTCTGTTATGTTTAAAAGTCCAAGTTAAGATTAGGAGGTAAAAAATTCCACAGATTCAAAATCTATATATGAGACTATTATTTAGAGTTTAAAGGTTAATGCTACTAGGCAAGACTGACATGGCCAGGTGGTTAGGGCGATCGACTCGTAAGAACTGGCTTATAAGAAACCCCTTAAATGATGTGTAATATTTATCGAAACGTCTAAACTTTTAAAAATTAGAGGACAGGCTTATAAGAAACCCCTTAAATGATGTGTAATATTTATCGAAACGTCTAAACGTTTTAAAAATTACAGGACAGGCTTATAAGAAACCACTTAAATAATCTGTAATATTTATCGAAACGTCTAAACGTTTTAAAAATTACAGGACAGGCTTATAAGAAACCACTTAAATAATCTGTAATATTTATCGAAACGTCTAAACGTTTTGAAAAATTACAGGGCAGGCTTATACGCAATTTTTGTTAGACGATAGAGGACAGGCTTATAAGAAACCCCTTAAATAATGTGTAATATTTACTGAAACGTCTTGCTTTATAGACAATAGAGGGCAGGCCTATACGCAACTTTTGGTCTGTTAATGTTTGCCTACTAGCTTTGTTTGTTTGTTATGAATTTCGTGCAAAGCTACCCTAATTTAGCAGTGAAAGAGGGAAGGTAGCTAGTCATCACCACCCACCGCCAACTCTTGGGCTACTCTTTTAACAACGAACAGTGGAATTGACCATCATATTATAACGCTCCCAAGGCAAACGTGTTTGGTGGGATGGGGATTCGAACCCACGACTCGCACATCTATCGTCTAAACATTCCGCTTAGTAGGTAAACATCGATCTAAGCCTAAGCTGCAACACAACAACCCAGTTTTCTTCAAGGCAAGACTTAAAAGACAGTTCTGTGCAATAACATCTCACTAGAACAGCCTGAAAAGTCGACAAAAGTGGCATGAAGACCAAATAACTCCACATCGATTAGTTGTTTTACGCTTGTATATTACGATTTGGAACAAGAAAATAAATCTTACAGTGCCATAAACAAAAGTTTAAGTAAAAGATAATATAAGATTAAAAAAAAAAACAGATTTCATATGATATTTTTCAGCTATTAATTTACTTCGTAAATATATGTATATATTATAATGTTGATCATAAACATGATCATAATCTACATATCACCTGACCTTCCCAGATCTTTAAAAATGATATGGATCCCGATCAAGACCAACAGACGTTTGAGCTAAGTTACTTTGTCTGTGGAAAGCCGTGGTTCTCAGTTATTGGTAAGACGGTATTTTGGCGGGAATTCTTGAGATCTGCAAATCGTTATGAAAATAATTAGATAACCTGATTAACTTTTAAACATTATTTACTTATAAACTCTTAATAGTGAAAGTAGCTAACGTTGTTGAGCATTATACAAACATGAAGATATAAAATTTGATCATTTTTACGTGCTAGGTTCCAATACCTGAGGTTCAAAGAAACTCGAGGAACGGTAAGGAAAGTGCAAACAACACCTGTTTGATATTAGAGCCTGACCAAGTCCTTTCTCTTGGTATAAACCCAGAAGATTTCTCAGCCATAACTGAGAAGAACCAAAAAACACATATATACACTGAAACACACGACGAAAAGGAAACAAATGAGTATTTATTAAAGAAGAAGAGCGATCAGAAGTTGGTTTTTGCAGTTTTTCTCTGCATCCAAGGATTTATATCTGCTCTCACTAATGGCATTTTACCAGCTATACAGGTAAAGTAAGCAGTGGTGTTCATCAAATGACTGAAAACTGGGTATTTGTAATAGGGTTTAGTTTGGAAAGAATATTTCGTATTAAAATAGTTTATTATTATCATTTATATTCAAAACCACATAAACTGGACGTTACATTCTAAAGCTAAGATAATGTTCAAAACCACATAAACTTTTATGTTACACTCTAAAGCTAAAGTGATGTTCAAACCACATAAACTGGACGTTACATTCTAAAGCTAAGATAATGTTATGTTACACTCTAAAGCTAAGGTGATGTTCAAAACCACATAAACTGGAAGTTACGCTCTAAAGCTAAGATGATGTTCAAAACCACATAAACGTTTATGTTACACTCTAAAGCTAAAGTGATGCTCAAAACCACATAAACTGGGTGTAACATTCTAAAGCTAAGATAATGTTCAAAACCACATAAATTAGGTGTTATATTCTAAAGTTAAAATAATGTTCAAAACATATAAACTGGAAGTTTTACCATAAACCAAAAATGAGGTTCGAAAACACATAAACTGAATGTTATATTATAAAGGTAACATAGTGTTCAAACACAAAACTTTCACAGGATACTAAGCCAGTAAATAATGATGTGATTTAAGTTTTAATCAGTCATATTGTGATATTATATCATACATATATTAGAACTAAATGTAGTCCTCTGGTAGATAAACTGTTCTAACTATAAACTCTAAGAAGGTTACTCTATCCAGTGTTGGTAAAAATGTTTAGTACATATCCATTTGTATTATTTTTTGTTATTTATTATCATATTTGTATTATAGATAACTACATTTTAGTATATTACGCAGACTTAATTAGGACTAGCCTAAATGTCCTAAGGTTGTCGAATATTGTGGTTTATGGTCTAAGTTACTGCAAAAAGCGAGGATACCCAGCAGAAGAAACACTGAAAACTAATCGTTACAAGAAAGAACGTAGGAACCTTGTAATTAATTAACTATCTAAGTGTTTATGAAGATTATAATATCTGTCATCAATGTAAAGTTTACACTATCTAGCTGTTATAAATGTATGAAGGTTATAACATCTCTCTTATATGTGACGTTTACACTATGTAGCTGTTATAAATGTATGAAGGTTATAACATCTCTCTTATATGTGACGTTTACACTATGTAGCTGTTATAAATGTATGAAGGTTATAACATCTCTCTTATATGTGAAGTTTACACTACCTAGCTGTTATAAATGTATGAAGGTTATAACATCTCTCTTATATGTGAAGTTTACACTATCTAGCTGTTATAAATGTATGAAGGTTATAACATCTCTCTTATATGTGACGTTTACACTATGTAGCTGTTATAAATGTATGAAGGTTATAACATCTCTCTTATATGTGACGTTTACACTATGTAGCTGTTATAAATGTATGAAGGTTATAACATCTCTCTTATATGTGAAGTTTACACTATCTAGCTGTTATGCGTTTATGAACGTTATAATATATGTCATCAATGGGAAGTTTACACTATGTAGCTGTTATACGTTTATGAAGGTTATAATATATGTCGTCAATGTGAAGTTTACACCATCTAGCTGTTATACGTTTATGAAGGTTATAATATATGTCATCAATGTGAAGTTTACACTATGTAGCTGTTATAAATGTATGAAGTTTATAACAACTCTCTTATATGCGAAGTTTACACTATCTAGCTGTTATCCGTTTATGAACGTTATAATATATGTCATCAATGTGAAGTTTATACTATGTAGCTGTTATACGTTTATGAAGGTTATAATATATGTCGTCAATGATAAGTCTACACTATCTAGCTGTTATCTGTTTATGAAGGTTATAATATGTGTCATCAATGTGAAGTTTACACTATCTAGCTGTTATACATTTATGAAGGTTATAATATATGTCATCAATGTGAAGTTTACACTATCTAATTGTTATCTTTACGAATGTTACAGTGTCTAACTGTTATCTTTACGAATGTTACAGTGTCAAACTGTTATGAATAGAAAGGTTGCACTACCTAGTAGCTACCTAACTTGAATGATTATAAAATATATTTTTTATCAACGTAAAAATTAAAGTTTCTTATAACTCTTTATCTGATGATCACCAACGTTACCCCTTGTTGTCAATGGTAACATAACTTACTGTTGAGAAATAATTAAAGTATCTACTTGATGTATTCATGATGATACATAACTGTTAATCACTTATAAATTACAGTATCCACTTGTCCTATTCTTGATGGTATATAACTGTTAGTGGTTTAATAATCACAGTATTCACTAGCTGTATTCATTAGTCAGGTAATTTTTACTTGAATAACAGTTATATACCATAGTGAATACAACTACGTACTTTAATTATTGTATTCGTTATGAAAATAGTTGTTAATAATTACAGTAATCACTTGTTATATTCATTAGGGTATATAAATGTCGTCATGTAATATTTACTTTATCCATTTGTTGTATTCATTAGGGTATATAAATGTCGTCATGTAATATTTACTTTATCCATTTGTTATATTCATTAGGGTATATAAATGTCGTCATGTAATATTTACTTTATCCATTTGTTGTATTCATTTTCGTATGTAACTATCAGTAATATAAACATGACATTATCCACTTCTTGTATTCGTTATGATATCAAAATGTTAGCTACATCATAACTATTTTATCCACCTATCATATGCATGATTATAACCATAAATCGTGTAAGAATTATAGCATCCACTTGTAATACATTGGTATATAAATTATAACTAAGTGGAATTTATAGTATGCTCTTTCTAGTGTTGTAATAACTACAGTATTGTCTTCTTATATTCAATATGATGTTTATCAGTTAGCCATGTAATAACTACAGTATCCTCTAGTTATATTCACTATGGTGTTTAACAGATAGTTATCTAATAACTACAGTACCCTCTAGTTATATTTACCACGGTGTTTAACAGTTAGTAATCTAATAACTACAGTATTCTCTTGGTAAATTCACTATGGTGTTTAACAGTTAGTTATCTGTCATCCCAATATTTTTGTAGAAAAAACAGGAGGGATAACGACTAGGTGCAAGGAACATGAAATATTATTTGTTTGTTTATTTTAGAGCAAAGTTACATTGAGCTATCTTCATGACAAACGAAAAGAATCAAATCTAAATGAAGATGTGATTGAAAAACAACATAAGATAAATTTCAAAGATATAAAGAATATTGCGTATAGACAAATATCCAAATAAATAAAAAAATTTGGAAGTATTTAGAATTAGAAAAATTAAAACCTAACATACATAAAAATCAGGAACATTTTATATTTATATTGAATTATTTACATAAAAATAAACCAGATGGAGACAGCGTCACTTTAAATAATATTATTTGATTGTATTTACGTGCAATTTGGATTTATTCGTACTTTTGAATGATGTGCACAGTCATATTTGGCTGTTAGAAACGAAACGTTGTATCCAAATGAATCTACTATCCCACTAGTAGCCGTTTCAAAAACTTTATTTACAGTTTTTGATAGTTCTCACGTAAAGTTAACAAACAAAAATCTTGAATATAATAGCATCTTACTTATATTGAAATTGTTTTACAGCATCTAATTAATATATATATATGTACACACACGTAATAGAATATACAAAAAGGCTGATGCTCACGCCTTTTTTTTTACGTAATGACTAGCGTAGCATATTGTTATCTATGAATTTCAGTATAATCTATTTGTTATATACTAAAAAGGTTGTGGTTTGAGTTTCTACACAGTAATTACTGTATGCTACTGTTATCTACAAACTGATGTAGCATCAAATTGTTATATACTGTATCTATATGTTTTATGTGTATTTGTTACAGAATTGGCTATGGTATTTAAATGTCATCTTATACGTATCTGTAACGTAGTCTTTCAGTAACATACACCAGAGCAAAATTAAAAAAACAACATAATTATAACTTTGTTTTTTTCTGTTTTTCAGTCTTACTCATGTTTACCTTATGGAAACGTAGCCTTTCATTTGTCTGTAACCTTGTCCAGCATAGCAAACCCTACCGCCTGTTTTATCGCCATGTTTAAATCCGTAAAGGACATGGCAAGTATTGTAATCTTAACTATCTTTGGAACAGCTTGTTCGGGATACATAATGACGACAGCCATCTTGAGTCCTATACCACCATTGGTGGATGAGGCTATCGGTCGTATTTTGATCGTAAGTACATCTACCAATTTTTATTAATTTTTATATTCAACAATACAGTAAACAACCGTTTCTTCGGCTTTAAAGCAAGCATCGATAACTAAAAGTCCATGAAGTAGTGAAAATGCTAATACAAACTCTATTGTCTGTTGTTGTTTTACATTCTTCACCACTTATAGAAAACTTGGGTTAAAACTTAGTCGTAATAATATTAAACCACACATAACTAGTGTTAAAACTAAGTGGCGAAGAATGTAAAACATAGAAAACTTGGGTTAAAACTTAGTCGTAATAATATTAAACCACACATAACTAGTGTTAAAACTACATTTTAAAATATTTAATTCGACCACTGTGTATTTTAATATTCTTTACTTCTTGTTACCCTAGTGGCTTAGCAGTTAGATTGAGGGCTTGGAACGCTTAAATTTAGACCTCGATCCCCGTGGTGGACATAAATCAGATAGCCAATGGTGTAGCTTTGTGTTAAAATTGCGAATTTTCGCTTAAAGCTTCTTTTTTTTATTGAATTTCGCGCTAACATTATCTATATTTCCACACTTTCCATCACTGCATTTCAATGATAATAGTTAATATTTTATTGTTCTCGAAGTATCAGCGACAAGTTTACGGACTTAGAACGGTATAATCCGAAGCCCGATTACCCGCAGTGGGCAGAACTAAGACAGCCCGTGATGTAGCTTTGTGCTTAACAGCAAACGAAACAAACTATTGAATTTTAGTACTAGTTATGTATCTTTCTGGTCATCTTTAAGACTACATCTGAACCATAATTATCTGTACTTTTATAACCCTTCACTCTGTAGTTAATATTTTAAATTATGATTTTTAATAATCTTTTGCACCATATTTTAATTAGCTGTGTACGTATTGAAGTTTACCAGTACATTTTAACAGTAATTATTTGTAGTGGCTTAGTGATTGGCGTACCAGGATTGTAAATTCGAGGCTTTTTTGGTGACGTCCTATTGACGCAAAAATGACTTCCGCACTCCGAAGCTGTGAATACAATATCTAAATGCTATACAGATACGTATAATACCTGTCTTTTATGTGAAGTTTACAATATCTTGCTTTTATACATATATGTAGGTTATAACACCTGTCTTCTATGTGAAGTTTACACTATCTAACTGTTATACAGATACTTATAACACCTGTCTTCTATGTGAAGTTTACACTATCTAACTGTTATACAGATAATTATAACACCTGTCTTCTATGTGAAGTTGACACTATCTAACTGTTATACAGATACTTATAACATCTGTCTTCTAGGTGAAGTTTACACTATCTAACTGTTATACAGATACTTATAACACCTGTCTTCTATGTGAAGTTTACACTATCTAACTGTTATACAGATACGTATAAGACCTGTCTTTTATGTGAAGTTTACAATATCTTGCTTTTATACATATATGTAGGTTATAACACCTGTCTTCTATGTGAAGTTTACACTATCTAACTGTTATACAGATACGTATAAAACCTGTCTTTTATGTGAAGTTTACACTATCTAACTTTTATATATATATATATATGTAGGTTATAACATCTATCTTCTATGTGAAGTTTACACTAGCTAACTTTTATATATATATATATATATATATGGGTCATAACATCTGTTTTCTATGAGAAGTTTATATTATCTAACTGTTATAATACACGAAGGTTATAATATCTGTCTTCTATAGGAGTGACGGTGAAATCCAATTTTTTTGTCAGCCAAGAGTAGCCCAAGAGTTGGCGGTGTGTGCTGTTGATTAGCTAAGTTCCCTCTAGTCTATCAGTTGAAATACAATTACTCCTCGAGTAGTTTGGGCGAAATTGAACAAACAAATAAAAAGTCCTTTTGTTACTTTTCGCAAAAATTAAAAACAAATAAACTAACATTAATACAAATATACACGTTACACTCAATCTCATGATTCGATCATTGACTGAGAAAACTTACCATTTCATGATTTGGGCATGTAGAAATTATCGAAGACAAAACTGAAATGTTATTTCAAGTGAAAAATATACATGGAATTACTGCACTTCCTGAACTACAGAGACCAAAGCAGTTGTCTCTCTTTTTTTGTGTGTTGCGTTCTTTTCTCATTTGGAATTATACATTTCGGAATATAAGCAATGAGATTTGTGCACACACCAAAATAATACGTTTTTTTTCGCTCTTTGATAATTGTAACATGCTCAAGTTACGAAAAGGTCGTTTTTTGTCGGTCAGTGACCTAATCGTGGTATTCAGCGTTTCTTTGTTATATTTAAAAGCACAAAGCTACACAACGGGCTACCTGTGCTGTGCCCACCACGAATATCGAAACCAGGTTTTTAGCGTTATAAGCCTCAAACGTACCAGTCAGCCACTGGAGAGCGATAATGAGTATAATATATATATATATATATATATTGATAAAATTCACCTCGAAAAAATTATGTTTCAGTAACACAGCTGCAGAGATTTTGCTATAATCTTATTTTCTATAATTTTATTTTTAATGACCTTTTTTTTTAAATTAATGTCTTTACGAATTATATATTTTAAAAATCCTCTGTTATACATTTTATTATCACATTGAATCATATTTTTATTACTTTTCTTCTACAGGTTCTTATTTGGATCCTATTTGTCGCTACTATGTCCTATGTTAAAGCCTGCATTGCGGGAAATTTGCGAGTACAAGGTGGACAAAATGCGTTGTTTTTATGTGGGGTTCTAACTCAAATCGGGTCGGCTTTAGGCGCTACTTTAATCTTTTTTCTGGTTAATTATGGAGATATTTTTCAATCTTATGTTCCGTGCGCATAGTTATAGGCACAGTAACATGTATTAAGAGTGTTAATCAGGCGTTTTAATTAATTGTGTTATTTATAAAATAGTAGGTTGCATCTGACTTGTCGATTATGAGTATAACTAAAAACTAGTTTCCGAAGTAGAATCACAGCATTGACACACCATCCTGCCGGAGAACATACATTACTAAGACCACAGAAAACATGCCTTAACTTCAAAAACGTTTTTGAATTTGAAGTTTTATGGACTGCGTTTGCCTGGAATATGGAACTCAAAACAGACCGAGACAGTGCCCACTACTAAATACGGGAGTATACAGAGACCGAGACATTGTTCACTGCTAAATATGGGAGTATACAGAGACCAGACATTGTCCACTGCTAAATGTGGGAGTTGACAGAGACCGAGACATTGTCCACTGCTAAATGTGGGAGTTGACAGAGACCAGAATTGTCCACTGCTAAATGTGGGAGTTGACAGAGACTAAGACATTCTCCATTGCTAAATGTAGGAGTATACAGAGACAGAGACATTGTCCACTGCTAAATGTGGGAGTTGACAGAGACATTGTCCACTGCTAAATGTGGGAGTTGACAGAGACCGAGATATTGTCCATTGCTAAATGTGGGAGTTGAGAGAAACCGAGATATTGTCCATTGCTAAATGTGGGAGTTGAGAGAGACATTGCTAAATGTGGGAGTTAAGAGAGACATTGAACACTGATAAATGTTGGAGTTGACAGAAATCGAGATATTTTCCATTGCCAAATGTGGGAATTGACAGAGACCGAGACATTGTCAACTGCTAAATGTTTGGGGGTGGTTAATAAAAGTGTTCCAAAACACGACATTAATGTCTTGACGAATAGTTGAATAGTTTAGTGTTTGCTACATTGTTCATAAAGTACTGGTAATTTCATCAAGAAATCCCTGAACCTGACTAAATATTCGTCTCTATTTTTGTATATTTTAGCTCTTATGTTGGTGTCTGGTAAGTCTTAGGAAACTAAAATGTAATAAAAACTTCACATAGGTAAAATACCATTTGTCAACTAAAGGTGTCGCTATTACCAATAAATAGAATAACAGAAATGAAATTAACAGAATAAGAGAAAAAAAAAACATGGAAAAAGATTTAAGTTGTGATTTAAAGGTAGAAACTAGAGTTACACCAGAACTGATTGAAGTAGATGCTTTTCATAACTGAAACATGCGTGAAAAAAAAACGACGTGTTAAGGAAACAATGAAGTCAGAGCTACTTTAACTGTCTAGGGTAATTAGACCAAGAACTCTTTACTTCTGTTAAGTCTTATGTGTGAAAATGCTTAAGCTGGGAAACATGATTTAATAATACGTAACAGGTATGTTACTACCTCAAAATAAAAATTATAATGATTATAATAACATAATTTTTACTATCTCGGTGCCTATTTTCAATAAGAAGAGAATAGAAGAGTTTCATAAAACCTTATTTGTTGTACATCGGCAGTGGGGGGATTCAATAAGTAGAGAATAGAAGAGTTTCGTAAAACCTTAGTTGTTGTACATCAGCAGTGGGTGGGGATTCAATAAGTAGAGAATAGAAGAGTTTCATAAAACCTTTTTTATTGTACATCGGCAGTGGGGGGATTCAATAAGTAGAGAATAGAAGAGTTTCATAAAACCTTATTTGTTGTACATCGACAGTGGGGGGATTCAATAAGTAGAGAATAGAAGAGTTTCATAAAACCTTATTTGTTGTACATCGACAGTGGGGGGATTCAATAAGTAGAGAATAGAAGAGTTTCATAAAACCTTATTTGTTGTACATCGGTAGTGGGGGGCTT